TGGTCACTAAAATAACTCTAGAGTCAGACTTTGGATCAAGTTATTGTAACCAAGCAGCTGACTAATGCCCACAAAAATATCCACATGCACGGGAGTCACCCTTATGCAAGCTGGTTGGGTAACTGCTTGTCTAAGGCTCTTTTTGCTTATAAACATCACTATAGAACGTATGGGTACTGGGTTATGTGAACACATTTCTGTGAGCAAATGCTCTAAACAAACACATGAACATCAGTGCATACCTGTGCAAGTTTCTTAGGCCAAAACAAGCCATTAGATTGTAAAGAAGCATATATTCTTAAGGCTGAGTTAGAAGTTAATCTAGTACTCCACAGTAACTTCTGGTAACAGAAATGCTGACAGTACTTTAAATGAAATAGTGTTAAGAGACATAATTTCCAGGACTTTTTCTTAGTCAGCTGCCATAATTAAAAATGTGCTTCCATATGGTTTTCCAAAAAGAAATACATTTCATATTGTTTCAATTAAATTGATGGATTCTTTAACCATTTGATAGCTTCCCCAATACCTATACTGTGATATTCCAAATGTGAGCTCAGTGGCTGACATGGAACCTCAGCTTTTACCCTTGATGACCCTCCATGAGTTCTATCAGCTCTTAATGTGGCTTTGATGCATGTAACTTGTAAATTACAGGATCTCACAACAATAACAATTTGAAAATGGAAAGGAAAAACATGTTCAGTTAATGCTCTGCTAGTTGATGTAAATGTAGGGCAGGTTGGGTTACTCTGCAGTAATATCTAGCATTTTAAGTGCCTTCCTTTCTGACTTGCCATGGCTGAAAGAGCAATCCCAAACACATTCCAGCCCACCTTATTACTCATCAAAGTAGAACAATCCTCCTGAAGTTCCAAATGGTAATTGGATTTGTACAGAGCCTGCCAAATTAAAATTGGCTGCTTCAAAATCTAAATCTTGAGCAAAAAAAGTATGGGAAATTTTGAGTTCCAGCTGACAATGTACTCTTAGCTCATCATACTACTATAGAAGGTCTGGTGCTTGACATAAGAAATCACCGTTGTTAATTATTAACTGCACTATCAATAGACACAATTTGATATATTGATAGACACAGTTTGTAAATACATCAAAAATCTACATCTGCACACTAATACATAAAAGATTATGCGGACTATATTGAAGTCACGGAAATTAAATGAGACTTAAATTTTACTCAAATGCTGTTGTCATGTTTGACAACTGGATTGTAAGAGTTAATAACAAAAACAGAACCCAGTCTCAATGGGTGACAATTATTAAAAAAACTTGCCTGAAAGAGACAAGCTGATTTTAGAATATTTCTAACATTGAAACGATACTTAGCTCCTGAAGTTGATCTTGATTTCAGTATCCCATTGTCATGCATATGTAAATAAACATTTGTGCGTGTTCATAAAAACAACATCTGTGTTCATGAAGAGCATTTCTGCATAAAGTTTTTCACCATTATTCTGTGCACAGTCATCTGAAGCATTGTTTAAATAGCAAGTAACAAGTAAACAACACACTTTTTCTTTCAAACTTAAAATAATCCAAGAACAGTCCCAACCTCATGAAAATTGCACGAGTCCACTAAGGGTCATGAATTTCTTTTGACATACAATGACTGAAGGTTTGGTCTCAAAGCCATTAGTTATACATTTATAAGCAATACATTTCCTTTTCTACATATGCCACAGTTCATATTTTTCACATGCAAGTGTAATTACAAAATGAGCCATGATTTCCAGAAACAGAAATCTAAACTAGGGGTCCCAAAACCTCTCAACTGATTCAGCTTGCCCTACAGGAGGGTCAACATTTTTTAAGAACACATTTTTACTGCCTAAAACCAGAAAAGCACTTACCCATATGTTTAAATCTAACACATTTGAATTATCTTCTGAGTAGAGATGCTTTCCAGAAGTGAGAGACTTAAGATCCTATCTAGAGATCTCACAATCTAATTTTAGGCACAAAGCTTGTATGCATGTATATATCTGCATAGTTTATCATAATAGAAATGCTCTTGCTGAGCTGAGATTTTCAACTGATTAAAATCAATAGGATGGATTACCGCAACTCTGATTGCTAAAGATTCTCAGAGATTTCCATCTCCACCTGGGTTTGGCATGACTGAAAACTCACATTGTAAATTCAGACACAAACCCCAGGCCACTCGAAATCTGGGATATCACTGCTGCTCCCTGAACCTGAAAAATATGAAGAAATAGTAGACTGAAACTTACACGTTCTGTCTGATTCTGGGAATTTCATCCTTAGGTACAGGAAACTCATGTTTTAAGTGCTGGGACACTATTACCCAAGTGCTTTTCTCTTCTCAGTTCATGACTTTTGGAGCTTTCATAACCATTTTTCTGTCTGCATTTTCTCTACTGATTTCCTCCCACCTATTTCCCTCACACCTCATGTCTGGCTTAGCTCTTCTGAGGAAGCAGCTAAGGATGGAGTCAAAGGCAGCTGCACCTTTGTAACACTTAAAACCATCTTGTCGTGTATACAGCCATCTTTAAATTTTATGTAGTATAGCTACTGATATGTAACAAGAAAAAATGGGGAAAGAAGAGATTACAAAGCCTTTCTTACAGCACTTCCAAGGTTGTGATAAAGTAACTTGGAATCAAAGAAATTTAGGAACCTTCCTGCTACCTTGTCTGCAAATGTGAAAGGTTCGAATCCTGTGGGAGATGCCCCATGTATCACAGAGTTACGCTGATGTTGAAAAGACCATTTGCTGCTTTTCTGACATAATAGGTGTCAGAGGTTCAGGTATCTGCACTCTAGTACAGGCAGCAGTTTAATTGTTAGTTGTGGTATTTTGGTCAAGTTATAAATCCTTGAGAAATCTTGACACTGAGAAATGGAGATCAGACCATGGGCAAGAAAAAACTGTCACTAATGCTCACAGAAAAAGTACTGCCTTGATAAAAAATGTTCGAGATGATATCTTATGGGGGAAGAGCTATAAAACAATACACTAGGGAACTTCCAGAAGTCTTAACAAAAAAAAATCAAAGAATATTACAAAAATTAAGGTAATGTGAGCATGTTTTTTAAAACCTGTAATACTGAACTAACTGCCTGTACCTCTGCCCTTCAGTTCTCCTTGAACTATGGTTCCAGGATAAGACACCACATGAAAGTACCTCAAAAGAATTATTTCCCCCCAAAATTTCAAAAATGACAGGTGTGGAGGAAAATCACGTTTATTTTAACTGCACAGCAGCTCCCCTCCTATATAATACAGTATCCAAAGCAAACAAATAATGGAAATGTACCAGGGAGAAGTCAAACCCGACTTTCCTGTACTGTAGTATTGCATAACAGTATTTGTAATTGCGTTATTCAAGGACATGCTGATGTTGAGTAATGCCCTTAGCTTACATAGGAGTCAACCTAATCTGTAGTGAGCCTACAACTCCAGAAAAAATCTGTAAACTCTAGCATTGTAAATTTCATATTGAGGTAAGGAAAAAAAAATAATTACTAAATGAAACATTTAGAAAAATTGGGGTGCTAATGTCTATACCACAATTTCTTGTATTGGTTATTTTTCATGCATTAAGATTATCCCATGCAAAAATTCATGTGCTGGTTAGATGCTGAACATAAAATGGAGGAAAAAATCTTTACATGGTTTTTCTCCTGTGGGCGTAAACAGATATTTTTAACTTCAGCTACCAAACAGAACTGACTGAGACAGAATTAGATTATACTTCCAACCAATACTTTGGTACATTGCAAATATATGACAGCTGCGATTCTGGAAGATTTAGAACTAAGTTTGTTAATATCAGTTGTTGCTAAGAGATGCATTGCCTTTAGTAGAAGAATGAATATGCATCCACATACTAAGTGGATTGATGAACTAAAAGCCACAAACCCAACACAAAATAATATGTTTATATTACAAAAGTGCCTGAAAATATTTTATGGCGGGGAAAAAATCAGCATTATTGCACTTTGGGTTCATCACATGCTTTGCTGACTTTCCTTCTCAAAGAAGGTGTACTCAGTGATGGCATTGTTAAAAATGAACAAGGACTGAAAATCACATTGAAGACTATAACAATATAATTCTTTCAGGAGACTCACGAAATTAAACCATTAAGCAATAAATTTTTAGTGTCTAGTATTTTTTGAATTATACTGGAAAGTCTACAGAAGTTTGAGTCTTGCTGACAAAAAGCTCACAATGGTAGATAGGTAGCAGATGTTTTCACAGAGTTATGAGTATCGCAGTTGCTCATAACTGTTTCATACAGCTGAGTGCTGCATTGTTATTATCATCATTATAGAACCTGCCTCTTTACTGCTAGTTAATGTATTCTCCAGTTTCACTTACCTCTGTTTGGTACAGTGCACTGAGTTTCTACAGTTCTCTCCAGACTTCTTTTGTATTTACTAACATATGTCCATAACTTACTTCTCATGTGAGTTATAGATAGTGAATGCTCCATCCCTGGCAGTGTCCAAGGCCAGGCTAGGGAGGGTCTTAAGCAACCTGGACTAGTGGAAGGTGTTCCTACCCACGGCAGGGGGTTTGGAACTAGATGATCTTGAGGTCTTTTCCAACCCATTCAATGATTCTATGAATCTATAATTTTATTTAATTATTTATATAATTTTATATTGCTCTCTAAAAAGAAGACCTTAGTTGACCTCTTCTTAGCATACTTCACTGAGACCACTATGTTAAGAGGGGATATCTGAGTTGGTGGGGTTAAATTACATATATGGCAAGGTCTGAAAAGACAACGAAGTTCAGCCAGCAAAAAGCATTACAAAAAAATATTAACCATGATCTGAATCTTCTTCTTAATAACCTTTTGTTTGGTCTTGGGGGGGGGGGGGGGAATCCATTACCAAAAAAAAAAGGAGTTTTAGACCATGTAAAAATGTTCTTTAGAAAAAGACCATCTTCACTAGGAGACAGAGTAGTTGCAGCAATAAGTACTCAGAGACTAAAGCACAACTGGACACACTATAAAAGTTTTTATACTTGACTGTGCCAGAATGAACTTTCCTGACATCAAATTAGCAAAAATCCCTCTGTGATGATTATGTATAAGACACATTTTAGGTATATAAACATTACTCTAGCATATGGAAGATTTAAGGCAGAAAATTAAGTAGCTTGCATAAAGCCCCAAAGATCAGCACTGCTGACATTTCTAATAAAATTCAAGTAACTCTTACTTCCTTGAGTGTCTTAACTGCATGACTATCCTAATGATTTTTGTTGTTGTATGAATGAAACTCCTTTTTCTCCTTGGAGACAGTCATTATTTTCAGCCAAACCTCCTCTTTCCCCCTCCCCCCACCTGCTAATGATCTCTTGGAGACAAAAAAAAGCAGAAATCCAGCTGTGGTAACATAGGACTGTGTCTTGCTCTAAGGAAACCGCTTCAGGAAGAAGATTGGTGAATGGTTATGAAACTGCAGAATGGATTCCAACATGCTGCAGAGTCATTCCGTAGCATGTCTCACAGCAGATAAGCTATGGAAAGCAAAATACAGCTTCTCAACAGCTGACGGTCCCAGATAACTCCCAACAGCAGATATCATAATGAGCCACTACTTCCTATATCAACACCACTAACATTTTTTTCACTAAACAACTTTTCCCCTCTGACTTGGCTAGATCAAGGACTCAAATATCTAAAAACTGGATTTTGCTGCAGTTGAGTTGACTTTCTGGAAGTGGCCACCAAGACAAAATACTATGTTATAGTTGAAATACACGACTGAATGTAGAAATGAATGCACTAAAATTCTGACCGATGGTGAGTTACAAATTCAATGTAAAGTACAGAAAAAAACGTAAAGAAAGACTATGGGTAAAAACTTGAGGGTAGCTGCTAAGTGTGCTTTTGAAGCATCAAAAATACAAGCGAATTCTTAGCTGAATCATATTGCAGTCAAACTATTATCATGCCTTCAGCTGAACTAGTTCAAGCAGAGGACTGGAAGATCTTGTAAACTAAGCAAGGTTATCTTGGGTCAACCTGTGAATAGAAAATGTCTGTGCTATCACAACTGCTGCCAGCAGTTTGTTATATAGCATTTCAGTGAGCCTGAAGGAGAAATAACATAGCTGGTTGTTAGATTATGTTTGATGCTACGAACAACTTCTTTTGGGTACGACTGATAACAAGGTTGTGACTGTTGTCCTTCAATATCATGCACTGCATCTTACCGATGGATATAGCTTTTATACACAGCTGGAAGGAGAGAAGCAGAGTATCTCTGAGAATGTCATGTAACTTTGCATGGTCTGCTACAGGACTCCAGCTGGGGCAATTTTTCAGCTCTTTCTGGAGCTCTTAGTTCTGCATCCTGTTTTTACGACAGCTTTTTACATCTGCAGAAAAAACATGGGAGCAGAAAACCCAAGATAATGATGTGAAGTAGCTATCGCTGTTAGCTCCTGGTATGGTACTCAATACACATTATGAGTGCCTGTAAAAAGTGCTCCACTGCCTGGATGTCAAGACCTGGATGAATCCTACCAGGCATTTAGAACCACCAACCATTTAGAACCACTAATGGCAATGGAAATGGGCACCTCCAGTCTATCCAAAGCCTGAAATGCTCTTTGAAACAACTGTACGAGAAACTTACAGAGGAGAACTACTATGACTTTCCAAAGAATAAAGCACTCTTTGTGTTCCCAGGACAAGTGGCTAAATATTAAGCTGACTGAATCTGGCCTTTGAATGTATGATAAGAACATGAGAACTGCATGTGTGCACTTCAAATTCAGGCCAGGTATTTTGTCCTCATGCCCATGCGAATTCCCCCCACAAACAAGTGCTTTACTGTTATCTTGAGCTTCCTGCTTTTTACCTTCATGTTTACTCTTGAATAAAGTATAAGCACTTTGAGACAGGAACAATTATTTTTCACTAGTATGGCCTCTGATAAGCCTTACCACTGCCAATATCATGCTGCCAGTAACTAACAGCATTTCCAGCCTCAGCATTTCATGAGCCACAAGACTTCAGACACCAGTTCTTGGGCTGGTGGGGCCTGTTGACTTCTGTGGGCTCCTTGCACTCTGTCACCTGCCCTCCTGTGCCCAGCAGAGCATGGTGAGCTCTGTATGAGCCAGATGGCTGCTGCAACACCTGCCTACATGCAGGTGAGCCTGGCGCTGTGATTTCTAGACGCCTCTTGCCCAAGAGCCACACACACCTGGGAGCGCAGGGCTGTAACCTCAAGTGGCCAGTCTCGTTCATTGAAACCCTCTTGGCTTTAGAGGTAATAATTCACCTCGTTTTCCATTTCCTAACAAGGTCTTTATTTGTGCAGTGTAGATTAAACACGTTATTTGCAACTGTTTTGAACCACTGTTTCCCAGCCCGTTGTAGTGGGTGAAACCGTGGGCACGACACACATTTCTTATAACAGCAGAGGGCCCGCTGGATCTCTGCGCTAACACAGGCATCTTTCTCTGTGCCTAGCAGCATCTACAGTACGAGAACGCGCTTTGAAGCCGGGCAGAAGAAGGCGCTGAGGCGCCACTGCAGAGCGGCGGCCCTGGCACTCCCCGGGTTAACTGCGGCGGCGCCACACCAAAATGGCGCCGCCCGCCTCCGCCCCGCCCCGCGCGCTGGGCAGTCGCGCGGTGGCCGTGGCGCGCCGCTGTCGCACGGTTATGAGTCACCGCCAGGGGCGCGGGGCGGCGCGCGGCTCGGGGGCTGCGGGCGCGGGGCGGGCGGCGCTGCTGCTGGCGGCGAACATGGCCGGCGTTCCCGACGCCGCTGCCTCCGCCGCCGCGCCGAGCAGCAGCGGGGATGGGCGGCGCGGTGGCAGCCCGGAGCAGCAGGAGAGCTGCCGGGATGAGCCGAAAACTCTCAGGGGGAGCAGCGAGCCGTGGCCGCCCGCCCCCGGTCCGGGGCAGCTGTCTCCGCAACAGCGAGCGGAGACGCTGGGCTTCTACGAGAGCGACCGGGGCAGGAAGAAGAAGCGGAGCCTCTCGGGTGAGGGGCGGTGGCGGGGAGAGAGGCCTCTTCCCGCAGGCCTGGGCGGGTGGAGGGCAGCGAGGGCCCCGGGCAGGGTTGTCCCGCTCGGGAGACCGGGGTGGCCGGGGCGGTGGTGCCCGGGGCGGGCGGTGCCTCCGGGGCGCGTCGCCAGCGCTGGCTCCTCAGCGCCGGCCGGGCCGCCTGAGGGACCAGGGCCTGATGGGTGCCCGAGGTAGGGCCGAGGGCGCCCTGTGCGAACTTTGTCGAGCGACTTAGAAAAGTGCGCTGGGACCTGGCGAGTCCGGGAGCGGCGGCGTTCGGCCGCTCCGGGAGCGCGGGCGAGCAGACGGGGAGCTCCGCTCCGGCTGTGCTGCCTCCGCTCTCCCTGCCTTAAGTTTCGGCAGAGAACTCGCCTGTGTTGGTGCCCCTTAGCGTGATTCGTGGTGTCCCCGCTTTCCACACGAGTGTGTTCAGGAGGGGGAGCGCGGGTCTCTGCTCGGTGTCACGCTGCGTGTTGGGAGGTGTTAAACAACATGAGCATTACCTGTCCCACTGTGATACACTGAAGCGGAGGCTCAGGCTGTTCGGTCGGTACCTGCCGAGGAGTGAGAGCAGCGAGCGCTTCGCACACCGGTTCCTGACAGGAGCAGGGGGCTTACACACGGGGCTGGATTTCCTAAGCTCCACGGCCGGGAGAGCTGCGGGCGCAATGAACTTTCTTAAGTACGAGCAATGCTCGTCGTGTTAACGGGTTCTTGTTACATACGCGAGCTTTGAGCCTTTGCCCCTACTACTGTATGTAACAGTACGGTTGAAAGTTGTATGCAGATTATTTCAAAGTAAATGTAATCTACGAACTGAAGACTTTATAGGGGAAAATAGGGAAAATGTCATGGTCTTTGCTATCCATCTGCAGCTGTATTTACATTTACACTTGAACTGGGCTTTTTTTTAGGTATCTACAGAATAATTTTTGAAAGTAGCCCTGACTTTTTTTTTTTTTTTTGTAATAATGATCACTCTGTGTGGCAGGGTTGAGTCGGTGTTGGTAAGATCATAAATTATTAGCACTATTTTCTTAGTTGTGCTGCTTGCTGAAAACCTGGGGAGTGCTGAAAGTGGTGTTCAGGTGTCCAGGCTGTCTGCCGCAGTGTTAGTTTGAAGGTGATCCCACAGGTCTTACCAAATACAGAAAAGAAAAAGTAGGAATTAGGATATAACTTGAATAATCTGCCACCAATTGAAGGCTTTCCTTCTAAATTTGACAGGTGCTGTGTCCCTTTCTGACATGTTATGTCATAGGAAATGCAGTATCATTGATTGCAGTTCTGGGGTGTTGATGAAACTGAGGTAATTTCCATAGTTGTAAAGAATTGGCTTGATCGTTATGAATTGCTTTTTAGTGGGGAAAAAAGAGTGGTCAAGATGCATACTAATGTTCCTGAAAGATGAACAAATAGCTTAGTTAAAAGTATGGAAATTGTTAACTTGTGTGCATGCACAGGAATTCCTAACTGTGTTCCAGAAATTGATCATAAACTTTGAAATAGTTAAAAACATTGGTGCTCTCAGGCTCTTCAGGACAGGAGAACGTTAGAAGAACAGGTTTCTTGGTAGAGCAACTGAAACTTCTAGCTCATCTAGTGCTAGCAGTTTGTTACACAATAGAAGAAGGGATTTTTCACTATACAGAGTGGTTGTTTAGAGAAGGAAATAAAAATACCCCACCATATTGTGCTGGTTTAGTCTTGATTGATTTAGTTGAGTCTTTATGATAGAAGTGTGTTTTTAGGATTAAGGGGAGTGAAATTTGCTCCTGTAGTAGTTGCATTTAGGATTGAAGTTATGATTGTACAGCAGTAGAAGCATATCTAGGTACGGTATGTTTCACATTTGCAGAAATTTTCCCTTCCATTTCTGGTTAATGGTTATCCTTTGTGTAGCTATGCATCGAAGTATAACTTAGGTAAATTATTATCTTCTTACTTTGAAGGAACTAGTGGCCTTTTATGTTTTGAATATGCTTGTGCTTTTCTGTCCTGAGGTGGGGAGATAAATGAGAATAAGCATTAAGAGTATGCTATCTGAACAGTTTAAATGTAGTGTTTAAACACAATCTAAAACTGCGAAAGAGGGGAAAGTTGAAGTGGAAAAGGAATTTGAAGTAGGAATTAAAGCGTTTACTTACTTTTAGAAGAAAATGATGCTTTGATAGCAGAATTAAACTTTTTCAGGTGATTTATTACTCTGTCCTGCCTTGGTGTCTCATGCTGTTCTTCTTGCTGCATTTGTCCTGCAGGGTTAGCCACAGATTTGTTTCACAGCTGACGCAGAGATAGGGCTAATGTAGAGTGGCAGTAAGTGCTCAGAAAGGAGGTGGCTGAACAACTGTGGGCTTCAGCGTACCCCCTCTCACTGCAGAGGTTGTTTTGCAGTCACAGTCTGGAGCTTGTGTACTGATCAACCCCGGTCATGAGGAGTCATCATTTCTGAATTTCAAGGGCATGAAAGTCTAACCAGGTGGAAGAAACCTAAAATCATTTGCTTTTCAATAGACCCATGAACCAATTTGTATGGGGTAAGGAGGGGAAAATACCATTTAGTTAGAATATCTCAAGTTGGAAGGGACCTGTAAAGGTACACTAAGTTACTCTGTGGTGTATATGCCATATTTACTTTGCAGGAAACTAGTTTTTTGAGATGCATTATCTTTAAGTCAGAGCAGGTTGGTTATCTGAGGTGGAAGAAATACACCTGGGCAGTTAACAGAGTAGCTAACTGGTGTATTTATATCTAAGGTTATCCCTTGTGGGGGGGGGGGGGGAACAAAAAAAATCAAAACCAAAAAACTTACAAGTGATAGTATTAAAAAGGAAGACTCTAGAAAACACATTTGCAAGACTTCAGAGCAGTCATAGAATAGTAGAATAGTTAGGGTTGGAAAGGACCTGAAGATCATCTAGTTCCAAACCCCCTGCCATGGGCAGGGGGCAGGGACACCTCACACTAAACCATGTCACCCAAGGCTCTGTCCAACCTGGTCTTGAACACCAGCAGGGATGGAGCATTCACAACTTCCCTGGGCAACCCATTCCAGTGCCTCACCACCCTTACAGTAAAGAAGTTCCTACTCATGCCCAATCTGAACTTCCCCTGTTTCAGTTTGAACCCATTACCCCTTGTCCTATCACTGCAGTCCCTAATGAAGAGTCCATACCCAGCATCCTTGTAGGCCCCCTTCAGATACTGGAAGGCTGCTATGAGGTCTCCACGCAGCCTTCTCTTCTCCAGGCTGAACAGCCCCAACTTTCTCAGCCTGTCTTCATATAGGAGGTGCTCCAGGCCCCTGATCATCCCCGTGGCCTCCTCTGGACTTGTTCCAACAGTTCCATGTCCTTTTTATATTGAGGACACCAAAACTGCACACAGTACTCCAGGTGAGGTCTCACAAGAGCAGAGTAGAGGGACAGGATCACCTCCTTAGGCCTGCTGGTCATGCTCCTTTTGATGCAGCCCAGGATACGGTTGGCTTTCTGGGCTGTGAGCGTACACTGCCAGCTCATGTTAGGTTTCTCATTGGCCAACACCCCTAAGTCCTTCTCCACAGGGTTCCTCCGAATCCCACTGTCCATGTCACCGATGAAGATGTTGAACAAGACCGGTCCCAACACCGATCCCTGAGGGACACCACTCGTTACTGGTCTCCAGCTGGACATTGAGCATTGGCCACAACTCTTTGTGTGTGGCCATCCAGCCAGTTCTTTATCCACCAAGTGGTCCATCCATCAAATTGATGTCTGTCCAGTTTAGAGACAAGGATGTCGTGTGGGACAGTGTCGAACAGTTTGCACAAGTCCAGATAGATGACATCAGCTGCTCTACCCCTGTCCATCAGTTCCGTAGCCCCATCATAGAAGGCCACCAAATTGGTCAGGCAGAATTTCCCCTTAGTGCAGCCATGCTGGCTGTCGCCAAGCACCTTGTTGTTTTTCATGTGCCTTAGCATGCCTTCCAGGAGAATCTGCTCCAAGATTTTGCCAGGCACAGAGATGAGACTGACTGGTGTGGGTAAATGATTTAATGGAATGAACTTCTGCCTTGTTTCACTGGAATGAACTTTGATTGAAGCTTTATCCATAAATATTAGGTTTTTACTACTCATTAAACTACATGTTCTCATTTGTTTTAGGATAAATTACTTTTAAGTGTTACAATGGTTTTGGTCTGCTTACTGGATCAGCAATACATATATCTATATTATATATAAATTAAAATCACTGTCAAAACAAGTTCATACAGAGGAAAACCATTCAGTTTAAAGCAAATACTGATATAAATGATATACTAATACATAATGAGCCAGCAGTTAGTGAATTATATAGGTGTGATCAGTATCAGCAATATGATAAATCACAATATTAGACATACACAAGATGTTAATACACCATCACAGGCTTCAAAATGCCTGTTTGTCGTCCCCCCAAATCCTAATCACATACAATACATGTGCCCCCCACCCAAAGCAGTGTAGGTTATACGCATACCCTGCTGCTGCTGCTTCTTCATATTTCTGTTTGAGCTGGTTCCTTCTTTGCTTTAAAACTATTTGTAATTTTATGGCTGTTCTTCCAGCTAATGTTCTTCATCATTTTCAATGTGATGAATATTGAGGAGCCACTGTCAGACAGTTTTGGGTGAAGTCTTTACACACAGCATGTATACTTGCATTCCTCTCTTAACAGCTGTTATCTAGTCTGTTTTACTAAGGGTGTGTTGTGCAGCCTTTTCCTCCTCCACAAAAACGGAAGGCATTGTACCATGCAAGATCCACCCCCCTGCCTAGTAGTCACTAAGTCTTTTGCTAAAATCTGAATTTACTATTTGTGTGTTCTTATGTCATGGTAAATGATCTGTAGCTTTTCATCTGTCTGTCTAGATAGGTGATTTCCATCTTTTGCATGTTGTGTGAACACTGAGAGTTTCTATTTTTAAATGCCAGTAGTAACCAGAAATGTTGGATTTTATCGTAGTGTTCTGTCACTTCTGAAGTGTTACCAGAAGATGGTAATGTCAGACTTTGTCAATGAGTATCACAGCTTAAACTCAACATCCTTGTCCTGACAGCCTGAATTTTCACAATTGCAATTTTCAAATTTTATTTAATTTTGCAAGACTGCTCCACGCAAAGTCTTTTTTAGAAGCCATATGAGTTGACTAAACTTAGGTCAGTCAGCCTTTGACTTATTTGCCTATAGTCATTAAAATGTAGGAGACCTGTATGTGCTTGATGGCTTTTTGGTCTTGAAAGGCTTTGGTCTGATCATGAAATGATCAGCATGCTTGTACTGTTTGTGCACTGAATCACTTGGGATTGTGTATCCATGAATGTTTTGATCTTACAGAAAGTTCTTTAAAATAAAGAGCAAGTTGCTAGCATTGCTGGGAGAAGAAATAGCTTTTAAGAAGTCTAAAACAGAGCTTAGTAAATTTAGGAGGACTGTCAGTACATTAAGGATTAGGTCAGCTCAGCATAACTGCATCCAATGTAACTGCTTTGAGTAATGTTCTGGAGAAGTGGGATGAAAACAACTGGCTGGGAAGAGAAGTGGGAAGATGATTGGCTTGTTTTGGTTGTTCTGCTGGGGCAACAGGGATATGGTAGAGCATAGGACTTGTGTCTGTTGTGGCTCCTTCTGTACCAAGTTATTTGATGTTCTGGTTATGATCAGCTGAAACTTTTGGGATTAGATACGATACAGATGAAATATGTAGCAAGTGAAAAAAAACATAGCTGTCTTCTCATGCTTTGGAGGTCATGCCTGAAATGTCTTCTACTTATGTATTCCTGAATATAGATCTCTCATTGGTGAGGTTCATCAGTGCTGAGCTAACGAGAGGCTACTTCCTTGAACACAATGAAGCAAAATACACAGAACGGAGAGAGAGAGTATACACGTGCATGCGAATACCAAAAGAACTGGAAAAGGTGAAGTATACTGTTAAGATTTGTTTTAATTTAGAGATTAAATCTGTTGTATTATATTATTTGAAGAAATACTTACTTTTCAAAGACTTGCTACTAAATAAAGTTCAACATCTGTAATGATTAGTTTTCAGTGTTAGTAACTTAAGCATTTGTTTCAGGGTTTTTTGCCTGTTTACTGCTTGCTGCTGTTACTAGTAAAGGCAGGCATGGTTAACTTTCAAGACCAGATGATGACAAATTAATTCAAATACAAAGATGTCACTGATCCTTAAAGGAATAGTCAAGCAAAATAATACTTTTTACAGCAAGACGTGATTTAAAAAAAAAAAAAGTTTTAAAGATTTATTTGAGGGTGGGAAGAGTTCAGTCCTTTAAAATATGATGATGGGTCAGTTTCTAGCTAAGGTTTTTGACTTAATTTTCATAGCTTTCTATTTCGCTTTTTACAACTAATTAACACATCTTCCCTCTCTTTCTCAGTGCTACAGCCCTTCCTGAAGCATTCCTGCCACCTCCTTTATGTCAGCTTAGATACAATTCTGGCCATACAGTGAGCTGTTGCCACTGCTGTAATGTAGAAGAGAATTTTATTCTGTCTTAACCTTTTTGATTTGGGAGGCAGAGGAATATGCTCAAGGATGATGAGTAAGGCAGCACTGTAATAAGGTTTGGCTAGGCTGCACTGCAACGATAACATTAAAAGTAATATAGCTAGAATTCTCAAAACTTTTAGGGATGAAGTTACGTAGTAGGGCTAAATCAATTTGGCTCTAGCTTACACTGAAGGGAGAGTCTGTGTAATTCTTCTCTCACTTAGTCTCCTGCCTTATGAATGCTGCCTGTTTTGCATGAACTATGGTGCTTGCTGGACTGTTCGAAGGATTAAACCAGCTCATAATTTGGCAGTGAATGCTTCACTTTTCTTGCTCGGGGTTTGTTCTTCACTGGAATAGTGAGCTGAATTGCTTGGCTAGTATTCTTGAGAATCCAGAGTCTACGCAAGGGCAGAAGGGGAGCTGTGTAGCTTGGGGTAGGGGTGGAAAGATGAAAGAGCAGTGGTGGATGGAGGGACAGTAGGAGTCCTTTTGTTAGCAGCCCTCAGGTTTCTCCTTCAGTATCATTAAATTCATCCTTAGTCTGTGATGAGACCTTGTTTCATAAAACTAAATTCCCAGTCAGTTACTGCAGAAAATCACAGAATGAATGAGATTGGGATGGACCTCTGGAGATGATGTAGTCCAAGCCCTTGCTTAAAACTGCATCACCTACAATAGCTTGCTCAGGACTAGATCCAGTTAGACATCTCCATGGATGTTGTCTTCACAGTCTCACTGTGAACTTTACTCTTTATGGTAGAATATTCCACTTATGGTAAGACTCTCAGTTGAACTTTATAGCAGTTTTACATCATCTCCATTGTAATTATGTATACTATTACATGCCCTCTCCAAGTCACAGGAATTGTGCTGAATGATCATCAGCATAGATTTCCAATAAAAATTTCAGTCCGTAAGAACCAGGCAATGCCAACAGTCTTTTAAAAATAAGCTTGATGCTGTAAGTGGTGAAATTGGTAGTTTTTGCATGGTAAATCATATTTCAGTCTGTACTTTCAATATGAAAGAATATGAAACTGAGTAGTAAGCATATGGATTTAAAAAGTGATGTTTGTCTCTTTAGAGATTCTGAAATAAATTCTTTATTTCTTTGCATGGGCTTAGTCCATGTTAGTATACATACTAGCTATATCAAATCGAATCATACTTGTTGAAAAAGTACAATGATTAAAATCTAGAAACAAATGTACTAAATAGTGTACTAAATCACTTGCTCTGTGATTCCAAAGTCTGCTTAAATGAAATAAAGCATGAGGCACTAGGAAAGGAAGAGAAGAATTCTGTTAATTGTTTGTATTGTATACTACCCAATAGTATAATTACAGAGTAGGAATGAAAATCATAATCAGGTAGAGTGAGAGTAAACTGGAGTAAGTTTGTCAGAGCCTAATCTTGGGAGGTATTCTTTAGCATGCACTTCTTGCATGTACGTATTTTTAGAGTAGGGTGTAATGTTTAAAGGGTAATATCTTGTTATTGGTCTGAATACTTTTTATTTAGACAAACTAGATAATTTGCAATATAAATGCTACTTCCGCTCAAACTTTTTGTGCAGTTTCAGTGAAAGTTCTTCAATGTAATAGGTTATTTGTAGTAAATAAAAGGTGGTCCCTATTCTGCCATCTTAGGGGAAAACTTGTCAATTCATCTCAAAATTAAACTTTGAGCTTTTGTGCTAAAAAATAGTTATGATGATGGAAAAGCTCATTAAGCTTTTCTGTTAGCTCCTCAGTATCTGGAATATAGCAGCAAAAATGTTTACCAAAATGAGGGGAAGGTTCAGTGCTGATTGTATTTCATCAGGTATGTATAAGTTCAGTCTAGTGAAAAATTAGGAAAATGAGGACATTAAACAATTGCAGATATTAATGCAAGATTATAGAATGTGAAAACCTGTAATTGCCCAAGCAGTGACAAAAGTTCTCTTTAAATCAAAAAGAAAATGCAGAGTTGTTTTCTGGATTACAAAGATGCCGTCAAAGAGTCAAACCAAATGACAGGCTGTCTTTCAATTTTGCTTGGGTTAAGGAGTTAAAAAAAGGAAGATACATGTTCAGCTCCAGTCATCCTCAGTGGTTGGATATTCAGCACTTGGTTTAAAAGTTAGCAAAGAAATGGGTAACTTAATGGCATATTAAAATGCAGTGGATAAATTCATCCATTATTTGTAACCACCACTCCTGATAATTTTTATTGATAACCCTCTCCTGAGATCTTAGAAAACAGTGGTAGAGGTGAATGAGTTGGTGTCAGGAGGAGAGAAGACCTTAATGTCATGGTGTGATACTGAAGTACAGACTGCAGAATTGGTAGAAATAATATGGGGAATATTAATAAATAATAAGGGAAGGCAACAATTCAAAAATGACAGCTGTGCTCTTAGACCTGAGTCAGTCATCAGTCACTTGCAGATAGATGTACTAGAGCATATTCTGTAGGATTGCTTTCAAAGTTACAGGGATGCATGAATGAGAGAAAGGTACATCTCAGTGATACTAGCTCATTGGACGTTGAACTGGCTGTTGCTCAATCTGACAAAGGAGGTACTTTGAAAGGCAAACAGATTGTGGGAGTTAAAAGTAATTTGCTTGTCCTTTGGTTTACCTCTCCCCTTCCCTAGCCCCCAAACTGGTGTCTGTCTTTCCCATCAGCAATACATAAAAACTTTAAATGCATATCGGTTGTGGATGTATAGGCCTGCTTAGAGGCTGCTAGTCTTAATTGTGTAGCCAATGATTTCCTTGCAGGAAAAAAAAAACTAGCTACTGGTCTGACAGAAGTGTAGAAGCCTATGTCTAGAGTCTCATTCGTGTAAACCTTAGATAAATTCAAAAGGCAGATGAGGAAGGAAACTCGTGGGGAGAGTGGTATACAAGAGCTTGCTAATGAAGAGATTTCTAATGGCAGAGTTTAGGTCTAGTTGACTTATGACAGAATTGCTTGGCTCATGGCTGTAATAAAATGGCTTTAACTGTTCCTGTAAATTAAGGATAAAGCATTTAAACTGAGGGCAACTGGAAGTTTACCTCTTTGTATTTTATACTCTTTGTATAAAAAAGGTAGATGTTTTCTGAAGGAAAATTACCATATCTGGTAATTAGCTGTGCAATAGGGAATTAACAAGGTAAGAAAAAGAAAAGCATATTAAAAAGGAGGTAGACAGAAAATGGTTGTGCACGTGTACACACAGCTCTGCTTGACACATACCACAACCTCCAAGGTTAAAAACATTAACTTTTTCAACCTTAGAGGAAGGTCACCATTGGAAGATGAACTACAGTTATATGCACACGTAATTCATCTATCCGGTAAAGACTGAGTTCAGTGAGCCATGGAAGTCTGGAAAAGCCTTTGCTGCTTGGATGTTGTGGTGCGGAATTTTTGCTGAATAGTCTTCCAAGTGCATAGCATTTTATTTTTGTTACACTTCAGGAGATTGAACAAGTGAGAGTATTGTGCTTATTTGGTTAGTCTTATGTAAATGTAATTTTCATAAAATCATACAATTCTTTATAAACTACTAACATACTTTTGTTTTATTTTTGTAATTTAGTTGATGTTTTTTGGAATCTTTTTGTGCCTGGATGCTTTTCTTTATGTATTCACCCTGCTTCCTTTGAGAGTTTTTCTGGCAATGTTCCGGTTCATCACTTTGCCTTGCTATGGCTTACGGTAAGTTGATTCAAGAAAAAGGTGTTGATACCCTTAAATAATGTTTATTTATATTTGTATTTAATTTTACAGCCTTCAGTGCTGTTTAAACTACTAATGACTTCTTCCACTGTGAAACAGAAGTTTTGGTCTAAACTAACCAAAACAAAGGTGTTTGTATGTGGGATCTGTAAGCTTTGCCAGCAGTCACTAATTGTCATGGTTATTTTCTTCAGACACAACAGTTTGATAACAGCAGCACTTAGGCATATTCAGGTTAGTAAAGGATGGAGGTCTAAGCTTATCCTGTAGTTTTGTTCTTTTAACCAGCATGTATCTGAACAGTTTCAAGATCCCTTAGATTGGAATTAATGGCTTGGCTCATGTTTTTTGATAGGCTCTTTGACACTGAAACAGAAGTTTGGATTTTTTGTTTGTTTTTGTTTGGTTGGTTGGTTGTTTTTTTCCTTGGGGGTGTGTGTGTTTGGTTCTTTTGTTTGGGTGTTCGGGTTTTTTTGTTGTTGTTGTTTTTGGTTCTTTACAACAGTTTTCCTTATCTGCGTGGTAAACTTTGTCCAAAGAACCCCTGAATAAAATGTGTTATTTTCTTTCTTTCAAAGACTCTTAAGACAGTAATCAGATGGGACTAACTACTTGGAATAATGTTAAGACATTTTAGATCTTAATGCCTTGCTTTTTTGTTCAGATCAATTTGAGGAAGTTGTTGCTAATTCATAGGATTTTTGGTTTGCCTTTCTGGTGTAGGCATCAAAAATTGGATAGAACTGGTTTCTGTTCTAAAAGTTGGGACTTCATGGTAAAACTGGTTATGTAAGTCTGAAGTGTGGCCTAAAATAAAGGGATTATTTGCATCAGTGTTGTAACTTTCCTTGAATAAATACGGACTTACGGGTTTTCATTATGGATCGCTCCAAACTTGATGTATGGTAGCTGATTATTTTTTGGTGGTTGCTCATATTTGCATTATTAATATTTTTTTATATGTGAAGTGCTTTTAGATGTGTAGTTCAGAATGTATGTTCTGATTAAAGCAAATGCGAGTCTAGTTGCAAAAGAAATAATATTTTAAAGACTAGTTTTAATTGGAAATGTTTGTACTTCGGTGGCGCTTAACATAGGCACTAGGTGGCAGTGTAGTATTTTATTGTGCAGTTACCTTGGAGCTGAATCTCAGTCTTTCATTATGTTGAGAGTTTTCCTAGCTGAATAAAAACTATGGCAGCTATTTAGTTTTAGCCTTATGACAGGTCAAATTATGTGCCTATTTGTTAATATCATAAAGGTACTATTGCTAGAATAATAAAATTCAGGAATATATAATGGATTTTAAGAAATCACTTGGATCTTACTATTTTTTTCTTGTTTAAAAAATGTTCTTCCTTGTTTATAAACTCAGCTTTGCTTTTTGACAAGTTTTCTGCTCTTCTGAAGTACGATTGAAAATTTGAAGGACCAGTTGCTGTTTTGGGGTATTGTTAAATATACTGAAGAAAGTGACATGGAACATACCATATACACTCATGCGTGTGTATCTGTATGTACACACACTTGCAATATTAAAACTTAATCTGCTAGCTTGATAGTATTATTACTGTGTGATGCAGGATAGAATCCAGTTTGATCAATTCAACTTGGTTATATTAACTTTAAAGTGTTATCAGGTAAGATGCAGTGAAAGTGAATTATCTTGAGTGAATAAAGCTTTGTTTATGTAACAACTCCTGAAGCAATTTTGTTTGTTACAGTTTCCTCAAAGGTTTATGGACTTTATTTTCTTAGAATCTCATTACTTGTTCAATACTCGAGGCTTTGTCTAATTCATTAATGTTTTTGATTTTGGGGTGGGATTTTTTTGTTGTTTTTCTAGGTATGCTGATTTGATTTCTTAAGGCAAAAAAGATTTGGGATTTTCTTCTCACTCAGGAAATTGATTTTTATCTAACAAAACAGATTTCAAGAGCTAAAACGTCTGTAATTACAAAAGGTACTTACAAAGCAGGTGGCTGTTTATCTTTTAGCTTGCTCTTTCTCACAGATGTCAAGTAAATGTTGAGAAACACGACTAGTTGTTACTTGAACCTGCAACATCATATTCCATTCTGTGTAGTAAATAAAAGTGCTCCTCCCTTCATCTTGACTTTTTTTTCTCAACATCTCAGTGAAGTTACTGAGCAGTGACTGTTCCATCTTCCTTCCAGTTTACTCTTCAGTTTGTTTATTTCCTCATAATAGCTGCTCTTGTCAGTGTAGAAAAAGATTATATTACCCATTATTTTTTTGAAAACAATAAAACCATGTTCCATGTTTGATGGACTAGTTCCTGTCAATGGTACTGTGTGCAGTACTTAAATGTAGCGGGAGTGCTTCATAGCCTCTTCCTCATGTTTTAATATTCCATTTTACAGAGTTTTGAAAGAGAACTAAGAGTAATGTATCTTAAAGAAATTTGTTTCCTTATGCTGCCTAGACAGTGTAAGTGCTTCAGTTTGACTGCGTAGTTGTCATTCCTCATCATTTGATCTTTCCGTCTGAGTAAATGTGGTTCAGTGTGTTTGTCAGAGCTGTATTGGTGTTAACAAAGCTATTTTAGAGAGACCGTAAAACTTCGAAAGCTTCAGTCAGAAGAATCCGAGATTCTGTCATTATGTAAACTAAGCTGCTGGTTAAATCACTGTGGTCAAACTGGCAGAAGCTGAATCATCACATTGTGATGGTTTTGGCAGGTGCAGCTACATTACTGCTATGCTCTGTAAATAGCAGGGTGCTCTTAATAATTAACAACACTTCACAAAATTAAAAGACATCTTCTGAAATTACAGGAAAAAAAAAAATTAACCCAGCTCTGATGTATTCCAAGTCATGGAGAGGAGTTTTTCTGAATTATTCTTTTTGAATCTTCTGAATTACTCTCATCTTATTAAACTATTCTTTGACATCATAAAAGCACATACGTTGCTCTAACAGCAAATCTAAGGTAGAGAAATAAGTGGACTTGGTGGAATTCTCCTCAGAATTACAGTCCTTGATGACAGGTTCCTAAAACTAACCCTACCTGTTGCTGAAAGGTAGGGTTTCCTTCTGCAGTTCAGACACATCTTTTTATTAGTACCTCGGATGCAGACGTTCTGTGCAGATTAATATCTCTGCTTCTTTGCAAACACTTCTAAAACGCTAATTTCTTGTTTTTCTTGGAAATGTGTTGCACACCAATAAAAGCTCTTGTGGGAATGGGGAAAAGCTCTTCTGTATTATTTGAAAAACACCACGATATGAAGACTGAAATTGTATGTTAGTGAAACTCTGATGGGCCTTCCAGTTTAATTACACTTAAAGCTGTTGTTCATCTTCTCCACAAAGCAAGTAAGGAATTGTGACGGAAAGTAAGACTTCTTTTCTTTCCCTCCACATTCTGGTTTTCTGAAGGAAATACACAAGTAGATTATGAATTTTCTTGTATGTGAAGATTGATTGACAAGATCTTTACCTTTCTTCCATGTAGAAATAAATACAGACTATAAATATTTTCTGTTTTACTCCTCTCTCTTCTCCGTTAAGTAAGTGAATTTAGGTCCTGCCAGCAATAACATCATTAACTTCAGTTGTATTATATATACCTCTTAAAATTCCCATCACCCTCCTGTGAAGTCATAGATTTAAGCTTTTCAGTAGGAAATAGGAATAGCATTATTTCAAGAAAGAAACTGTAGGAAGAAAGCGTATCAGGGATAAAACAAATAAACCAATCAAAACCCACTCCCAACCCCCAACAACAAAACCCAGACAAATCAAAATAAACAGATATACTGGCACTCTATTACAGACATTATTTCTTTGTTCATATTATCAGGTTATTAAATAAATCTGAAACTTTGTTGCACACTTTTTGCTGAGGGCTTTAGTTGTTAAATACATAAACTTCCTATTGTCTGGTTAAGTTCATGGAGAAAGTAGTGCATCTGTCCACCAAAACGTCTGGCTTTCTACCAAGCAAAAAAAGGCAGGTGCATTCAGTATTTTCTGTAGTAAACTCTCAGATCAAGTACTCCTTTCTCCTTTCCATAACAGTGCATAGTGTAGCAACATTACAAACTTCTCTTTCTTTCTTTCTTGTAAATCAGACCGAAGGGAAGAGCACTTTCACTTCCTTTATAGGATGGAATGTGGTGTCACAGGGATTCCTCCTTGGTGAGTAAATCCTGATTTTCTTTTTCCTTCTGTGCTGTCAGCCAAATTCGCACATGCCATCAGTAAAAAGACTGATTACAAATGAGTAGTATAGCTAAATTAGCCAAGGTATTTCAAAGGAGAAACCAACACACATTCATTCAGTGTTGTTTATGATAGGTGTATTTTCACTTGGAACTGCATCACTGTGGAAATAAGTTGTGATTTTAATAGATTTTAAACGTTTTTTACATAGAGTGCCTGCAGACCAGTTAAGCCCAATTTAAAATGCGATGTCTTGGAAAAGCTGTAGCCCCTGCTGTAATGCCTTAAGCTTTTTTTTACGTTTATTCTAAGCAGTGTTTCAGTCAGGTTCATAATTATTTTTTTGTGTGTTCTTCAAGCAGGTTTTTTAATGCTTAATGTAAATTTTGGGGAGTTCTTCAAGTTCATTGCGAGTGTCTCAGTATTAGACTTGATTCTCTGCATAATGAACATATGATAAGATGCTGTATTTTATTTACTGACTTCAGTTATAGTTGATACTGTTATGAAAAAAATAAAAGCTTAATGGAGGCTTGTTTTAATTGTCACTTATTTGAAACCTCAATTTTTTTTTATTTATTTTGAGACAGCTTTCATCCGGGCGTAACAGCAAGGTTGGTTTTGTTTCATTCTTAGCATGGTCTCGTGCTGTGGTGTGTGCATGTAGAGGATTTTTATTGTCTGAGAAATGAAATGCCAGTTGAAACCTTGGCAAACTCAGCTCTTTGTATCTTAGAATTCTTCATTTGGGACATTTTTATCAGCCCTTAGTCTGTATATCTCAGTTTTAT